GATACGAAGTTAGGATACAAATGCACGACTGGGTGATCAGTGATTGACTGCACCTTTTCCCATCAAACTTTAGCCAAAACCGGCAATATTTTAACCAAGATCGGTAGTCCGTTGACCTCGACGCCACTGTAAGCGAGTCAGATGAAAAAAGATATAGGGATATTGTGAGGTCAGCGAGTGCTGAAACAATTTATATTCTACAGATGTCTATGTTGCTCTGTTTTGATTTACTGATAATCCCTTCCAGCTGTATGGTGGAAGAAATCCGATCGAGTGGTTGGCATAACTGCACATCCAAAGTTTGTTACAGAACTATAAGTTCTGTTCTCTGAGGTTTGGAACACTGAGCAGGTGCCCTCCTCGTGGTGGGAATCGATTGTCTTCCCTATTTACAAAAAGGCCCGTGCAGTGACTGCGCTAATCATAGGGGCATAGGCCTCATCCCAATAGCGTCGTAGCTGTTGGCATCCGTCATTCTCCGCCGATTGTACACTATGCTTGAGGAACAGGCTGGGTTTCTTGCCGGTCGTGGCTGCATCGATCAAACCTTCACTTTCCGACATTTGCTAGAGCACCATCATGCCTATCAAAGACCTACGATCATTGTATTGTAAAAAATCTGCGCGGCCTTCAACTCTGTCGACAGGACCGCACTATGGACCTTGCTGGGTGACAATACACAGGCAGTCCAAAACGCCTTGAACCACTTGGTGATCGAGGTATTTAGGTATAGTATGTTCTTTGCCCCTTCCAAGTGCAATGTATTTGTGCAAGACTGACAGAGCCTGTGTCTGCACTCACCCTCTGTAGTGATGAACTAGAAGTAGTTGAGAGCTTCAAGTACCTCGGGAGCTTGATCGCAGCTGGTGTTGGCGTTGGAGAGGAAATCACATCACGAATAGCGAAAGCTGGAGCAACTTTTGCCAACATGCGACACCTGTGCGCCGCTATGACATCTGACTGTCCCTTAAGGGAAGGGTGTACATCGCAGCGGTTCGTAGTGTTTTGCCTTACGGTTGCGAGGCCTGGCCTCCTCAAGCAGAGGATGCTAATCGGCTTTCCGTATTAGGCCACCGATGCCTTCTAAGCAGTGCTCGTATCTGGTGGGAACATCGAGTGAGCAATGACGAAATTCGTTATTGTGCGCTGGGTACTGATGGTCGTTCTCTAACGAAAGAAATCGTTCTAAACCGCCTCCGATGGCTCGGTCATGTTTTGCGCATGCCCATCCATCGACTGCCTATTCATGCTCTCTTTGCACGTGCCGGGAATGGCTGGAACAAGCTTCGCGGCCGTCAGACCATGACATGGCGTAGAGGTATGAAGAAGCTAGCTTCAGCTTTGGCTTCGATTGGTGCAGCCCGCCTTCCAGGTTGGAGCCAAGGAGATGAGGCTTGTCGTTGGTTAGAGATGCTGAGAGATATGGCTCAGAATAGAAGTCAGTGGTGCGAATGCTGTGCAGTCTGTCTGTTGAAACCGAGTGCCCCGTAAATAACAACAAACAACACAAAAAATATCAAAATGTCTACGGTGAAACACAAAATTTTGTTGTGCGAGTTATTCACCATTTTCCATTTTAGATATTTCATCCTCTTTCCACTTTTTTCTGTATCCAAATCCTCCTGCCCCTTGTTATTGTTTTTGGTATTTGTTTTGTGGCATTGGC